TATATAATTTGTTCCAACATGTGCATATTTTACAGCACTAGTCTATCCTTAACATCAAAAAGGATAAATATATCCATTATACATGCATATTATTATTTTTCCTTCAGCAAGACAACCACACACACACTAGAAAAAGTTATGAGTTAGAAACAATATATTATGCAACTTTGATGGACCCATAACTTGTTTTATATGGAGGTGCCCAATTATGTGATTCATTCCTATTAACACATGGTTATCCAGGTGCAAACTACCCTAGTCTATTACAGATACATAACATAATACAAATCCCAAATAAAGTGCTATAGATAAGAAAATTATGTGAGGAGAGGAAATGGAAAATACAAATGCATGTGCTAGGTTTTAGGTAATGATCAGTAGCAGCTGGTGAAGGTGAAAGATGGTGGGGTGATGCCTTCTCTGGCTTGTTGGGCTCTACCCACTTAACCCCATAATATAGCATGCTCTGTTCAAAATCACCAGCTGCATCCACAGTCATCAATAAAAGGAAAAATAGAAACTGAAGATATAATCATGACAGACACGTGTTGTCTCTAACACACACCTATCAGTAGTCCTTATAATGCCAAAAGATTTGAGGAAACCCCAATCGAGAGCTGCCTCCGCTGAGAAGGACCAACAAGAAGGTTAACAGATCTCAAAGTGTGTTTGTATATGCATGTAATATTGTATGTATTACAATTATTATTAGCATTTATGTTGTGCCAATTTACTCCCCAGCACTTTCCAGTATTATCAAGGGGGAATTTAACAAATGAGACAAACAATTACAAATTTTGACAGGAACAAGAGGTTGATGAAAACACTACTCGAACAAACATACAATATTATACAGCAAGATGTAAGTATACACACTAATGTTCACATATACTCTAATAAATATACACTCTAGAACTGTGTCCTATATCTATGTCCACTAGCCAAAATAAATTTGTTTCAGTAAACTGTTTGTGTTGCTAAGCACACAAGGTGAATATCAGAAACTTTTGATGCACAGAACAATAAAAAGTAATCCGCCTTTATTGCATGAAGAATTGACTGGAAAGGTAACTGTTCTAGTTCACACAGATGGGTCTGAATACATACACAGATAGAAAAAAAAAAATATTAGTGTAAACAACAGAATGAAGCCCTGCCCAGCAAAGCTGACAGTCTACTGAAAATCAAGTTAGAAATTATCTTTTTTTGTGTGCGTCACTGTAGGTGACAGTAATGAGAGCAGACCGATATAAGAAGACACAGAGGATAAGGCTGTCAGCTCCTGTGCCAAAGTTTCTTTTGAGCTCAATTCTTTATTTGAAATGTAACAGTACATTAATAATATGGCCTGTATTTGCTGTTTTTAGATTGCATTAGCAAAAGTACTATTATTTATTCATGTCCTGTTGCTATTTAAAATAATGGCCACTTTTATAAATCATTTTTTGTGTATATATTTAGTAACATTTTTCTAAATGTCGTTTATGTCTAACAAACACAGTGAAGCCTAGAGACTACCATATAAAAATTATATGTAAATCCGTATTCTCTTTAGAATTATAGTCCCAAGAAAAGCAGTGGCTGAGAACCACCAGGAAGGGAGTAAGAGGAGGTGGGGGGAGTGGAGTAGGAACAAGGTAGGGGAATAGAAGAGCGTAAAGGGGGTGGGGGGGAAATCAGCTTTGTCTAACCACAATGACAAGATAATTAACCCTTTGGTACTCCTAACTCACGTTAAAGATTTCAAAACTTAAGTTTTGGGGAGCCTAAGCAATATTTTAACCCCTTAAAGACTTATAAAACCACACGTTTTCTAGAATGCTTATTAAAGACAGAGATGTACTTATTATATGGGCAGAGGGTGAGAAAAAAAACGAGGGGTAGGATTATAAAGCAGGTCATTGTTACAGATGGCTTTGTATGTAGCGTCTCTGACTGTGCTTTAAGCCTCTGCTTTCCTTGCATTGTGTTATTTAGAGAGAGGGGATAAAGCTTGCTGCTGAAAAGTAAAAAGCCACCAGTTAAAAAAAAAAAAAAAGAGGGGGAAGGAGGAGGATTAAAAGCAGGAGACAGAACACAAATGGAAACGTTAAAAATAAAATTATATATATATATATATATATATATATAAAGTTTATAAATTAGAACATCCAAGAGCAAGACAAAGAAAAACAAAAATAAGTGATAATATATTGCACGGACATTAAAGAGTTAATTAACTTTCAACAGCCAAGTATACCAGATCTCTTATCAACACAACTGCAAATATGAAGCTAAAATGGTTGGGAAAAAGATGCTGGACTGTAACATGATGGAATTTCAAGAAGGTGATTAACATACTTTTTTAGTCACAGAAATGAACACCATACTAAGCTTAAATAGCACACAAAATAAATAAATAAAAAATCCAAACACAACAGCAAGTCATATAATGGTCTTAATTTCTAACAAAGCACATCTCATACATCCATTATCCTCAACCATAAAAATGTACAGGGAACTACCAGATAAACACTAGAAAAATGAAATTAATTATGTGTTTACGCCGATTTATTTTTCTAAGTACATCATAAACATTTCATACTTTAAATAAGTAAAAATCCCAGTACATATTCTTAAGAGTAATTTAAAAAACAAAAAAAGGTAGTTTTGGTAAAGTATCCAACGTGCCAAACACAACTTACTACACAAAGGAATCTGCTTGAAAACAAATGAAACCTGGTAATCAAACATAATTAAAGAGACACGCACAACCCTAGATCCAGCAATCAAGGTAATTCAGAAATTAACAAGTGTACAAATGAACAAAGCCATGACATTTATTTATTTATTTCCTCTTAAAAGGACACGGGTAGCTTTCAGGATTCCAAAGCCAATGGGAATCCACATGGTTTGTTTATTTAAAAGGCTGGAGGAGAAATTAGGCTGAGAAGAAGAAGAAGAAGAAGAAAAAAAAAAAAAAAAGTTAACTCTGCCTTATGGGCAGAGAAACAGAAACAAAGCATTACATTGCCAGATATAACCCATTTTATTTTATATACCGAAACGGATGGAAATAGCTACACTGAATTCTCTGCTAGAACTCAGAACAGGGCAGTCTGTATACAAGAGTTTACAGGCTAGCATTACCAACTGGCAGATGCACTGAATACATACATTGGACTAAAAGGTTAACTGATCATACTCCATTACCTCCTCATTCCCTTTACATTTTACCAGTTAACTCTCTGTTAACTTCCTTTATCCTCACTTCTAAATTCTCCCTGCAACCTCTGGTCTGGAATCTCCATTATAACCTTTAGATTGTAAGCTCATGGGTTATCTAACCAAGCACTCAGTAGAAAAGAGCATCAGTGGTTAAATTTCATCTCAAGGCAGGGGGCCCTCTTTACCTTTTGTATTTGTCTGTGTACATTGTACAGCGCTGTAGAATATGTTGCAGCTTTATAAATGCCAATAATAAATTCATTTAAAAAAAAAAAAAAAACTAGGCAAATACCGGGCAGAAAGGCTGCACATTTCTACCCGTGATCGTATATAGGGAAGCTTTGGATATACAGCCTTACTGTTATATGCAAGTACTGGTCCCACGTACAAGTCATAAATCAGATTAAAAGGTCCCATATTCAGATACTGAGAAATCATCACTGATCCTAACAGCAGTGATACAAATACAACTACAACGTCACAAAACTGACCCCAAGCATGCACAAAGCAATAAGAAAACAGGTCAAAGTTGCAACACCTACATCACTTACAGGATCACAAGGGGTTAACGCCGCCAAGTTGCAACATTGTTACAATCTGAGCACGAGGTAGCATTATAAAAGTTGCAACATTGACGCTGAAGTAATAGAACGCCTCCATTAAAGGGTTAACGTTCTAAGCAGGGTTATGGACAGCAATAGAAAGTAGTGTGGACACCATAGTATACAAGAGAATGGGGGATTGCATTACAAAGTTGCCGGGTTCGCAAAGCAGCATGGATAACGTTACTAAGTTGCAGCAGTAATCCACTGGGCAGGAGTATTGGTAACACAAGTAGCAACCCTGATTATTGATAACGTTAAGTCGGAGCATTGATCCTCTGTGCAGGAGTATTGATAACACAGGTTGCACAACTGATCCTCTGGGCAGATCAGAAGTCAGTAAAACATGACCAAGTTGCCTGCAGATCACACTGCACACACACACAGGGGTACTGATAACACAAATCGCAGTGCTGAACCCACTACACATTAATATTGATAACAATAGCTGCAGCTATAGCCCTCTACAGAGAGCACAAGTCAGGATAACATGACTAAGTTGCAGTTCAGATCCAAGAGAACTGACCCCATAAACGGCAGCATTCTATGCATCACAAGTAGGGATAACTTTAAAGTTGCATCACCCAGCCTGTATAGGGGAGCACGGATAAACATTGCGAAGTTGGAGGAGTATTGGGAGCATTACAGACACCGGCTATATCTATATCAGTAACAAAGCACATGCATTGCTTATCTGAAACACAAGCCCCCTTCTCCACCTACTACTATGGCTGAGCCCTGCACACATCCCCTACACTTTATTCCCCAATTCACATTCACCCAGCTTGCTCAGAGCATGGAAATATACAGTGAAGATAGCAATGCATTTGCACTTACTTTTCCCTTGCCTGGCTATCAGAAGGGACAGTGGATCCTTTCCCTTTGGCATACATGCTTGTTTGAGACTTTTCCTACTCAACACCTGTCAAAGGAAGCAGCCAGCAATACTCTCTCTATCTCCATAGCTACCCCTTCAGTTTTTTACATCCCAAAGCATTGGCCACAAATCAGGCACATTTTCTAATGGGGGATCTTGAAACAGCCAGAGCTCTTTTTTTTCCCTTTCTTTTTTTTTTTTTTCTTTTTTTTGTTCGGCTGTTCCAGGAATCGCACACTCCTCCCACCCTGATGAGATGGTTGCTTGTGTTTTTTTTTTCTCCCCTTCTTTCCTTTACTCTTAAAAGGGCAATGCCAAAATAGCATGTTTAAGGAGAGGAGAAGCAATGCTGAGGTTATGGTATTATTTGACAGCCCGTTTTGTAAGTAATGAATGTTGGTATTTTTAATAGCAGCTTGCAGTGATACGGGTAAACTACCTGATAAACAATTTAATCAAGCAATACGTTAATTTGTGTGTAATGTGTGCTTGTGTAGAACAGATTACTGGGTATATAACGTGCGTGTCTGTATGTATCTGAATGTGTATATTTATATACATATACAATGTAGAAATTACTCTCTTTCGAGCCTCAGTTGTAATTCTGCTAATTAACAACAGATAATTTAAATTAATAAAATAAAGTGTTTGTGACCAACAATTTGTGTATTAAGTTCTGTGGTTATAGGCTGATGTGACCGATTTTCTTAATGTATTGCATTCAGTCAAGTATCTATTTGTTTTTTTTTTTGTATTTTTATTTTTTTAATTTTTTTTTTCCTACCTTGTCTACCATGAGAGAGATTTCTGACATCAAATATTGTATAATGGAAAAAAAATGCCATAAAGGGGTTCTTTTTGACATCATACATCTGGGTATGTTAGTTTTGGGAGAGAGGCTCAATGCTGGCAGCACAAATATCAGCTACTACTCTTGAGTGTTACACCTGCTCATTTTAGGCAGACTGGGACTTGTATGTCTCTGCGATGCCTTAAGATTAGGGGACCCACACCACTGGACTGCCAGTCACACTGTGCATTACACTTTTTAATGCATGGATTAATGTCGCCCACAGTGCAGTTAGGGATTTTAAAACCTGCTCTGCCTGATATGTGTAATATATATTTTATATTATATAAAAAAAGGGGGATGGGGAACGACGACACTTGAGGCACCACAGCATCGGATTGTTTGTTACATTCTGGGTATAGATTGACAGGGTTAAGTTGGGTCTTGTGTGAAAATGTCTCTTTAGTCCCAGGACCTATTTTAGTTTAACAGGGAAACAGAGTGTCACGGAACATCCAGCTCTTCTGGAATGGCTAAGGAAGAGTTATGCTCCTTGTTACACCAGTATGTTGTAGCTCTCAGCCTGTCACTGCCCACTATCCCTGGTATGATTTGGTATGGCGTAAAGGGAGCATAACTCTTTAAGGGGGCTGGGCTGTTGGTGCCTGGGAATCCTTTAGAAATGGTTTAACAATGAAATAGGATGGCGCTCAGGAACCTGCTAGAGCAGGTATAGGCAACCTTTGGCACTCCAGATGTTTTGGACTACACCTCCCATAATGCTTTGCCAGCATTATGGGAAATGTAGTCCAAAACATCTGGAGTGCCGAAGGTTGCCTATCCCTGGCCTAGAGTATCAATTTAAATTTACCAGAAACAGGCTGAGGAAATGGATGCAAGGTCGGTTTTGCTGACCTCCAGGCCTCTCCTTCCCTCACACTCCCTGCAAATTCCATGTTTTGACATACAGGGAGTGCATGAAATGCATGTGGCTTCTCCCAAGTATTCTAGATATTGGGGCATAAAAGACTGAAGCCACCCTCCCAGTCACATTCAGTCAACGTCTCAACCCCATTTCATATACTCTCACCCAGCCCCTTTTTTAATCAAGCTGAAGGTTATCTAAGAAATATGGTACCCTCCCCACAAATCAAATTATTTTCTTTCCTACCCCACCTTAAACCCTAGTATGTCTCTCCTGCTCACTTCCCCCCTCCTTGGTCTCTTCTGCCCCTTCTAAGTTTGTTTTTCTCTGCAGCCCCCTTCCTACCTCCTTTTGTGTCTCTTACTCCCCATTCTACTTCTTATATGTCTCTTCAGCAACCATCTACCCCTTGTGTATCTCTCTATAGCTCCCTTCCTTCTCTATCCTTTTATGTGTCTCTCCTTCTTCCTATTGCACCATGAGGACTGCAGGAGAGTTGCTGCAATTTGCTCTGCCCAGTTCAGTTATTGGGTGAACATGCGGACCCTTATCCTCTTCTGTGTTTCGGGTTGGTCATGATGAATGACAGTGCGGGGGATGATGCTCTGTATGTACTAATCCTGGCTGTCTCACAGTGTGGACTGTCCTCCTTAGAACAACACATAGCTTGCAACATGCATTCTTCTACATGCAATTTATGTGACATACTACTAGTACTGTTACTTTGTTAAACAAAAATCTCAGTAAAAAAGTATGCTTTGAATTTTTTTTTAAAAAAGGTTACTTACTAAAGTGAGATATGTTGGGAATCCAAAGTTAATTTCAATTACAAGGGTAAAATAGCTGACTTTGAAAGATTTCCGGTTTGGTTATTTTGGTTTTAAATTGGAAATTCAATTTCAATTCTGGAAAATACTAATTTTAGTAATGTCAGGTAAATTATCAGGGTTATTCACGAAAGTGAGAATTGAAAATGAATTTCAAATTTAAGGTCAAAATAGCTGAGCTGGAAAAATTATCTAAGTCGAATTTTTCACTTCAGCCACTCTGGCCTTAAATTTGAAATTCACTTTATATTCTCACTCTAGTAGATTACCCTGATAATTTTCCTGGCATTACTATTACATTAGTATTTTCCAGAATTGAAATTGAATTTCCAATTTAAGACCAGAATAACCAAACCGGAAATCTTTCCAAGTCAGCTATTTTACCCTTGAAATTGAAATTAACTTTGGATTCCCAACATATTACCTTGTATAAGATCCAGAATGCTATGTATGAATCCACTACTAGGAGGAAAAGGCAGTGGCGTAGTATTACCGTGCCTTATAGTTTTCGGAACGAGGACCAGCCAAATGTCAAAATGAGAGAAATATAAATATAAAGAACAGGTCCAGATTTCCAATTAAGCTGAGTTGGCACCTACCTACAGGCACAAAATAGAGAAAAAATAGAAAGTCCAAAGTCCAGCACTTGGTTCATACTGATACAGTTCTGACAAACAGCTCAACAACCAGTCTCTCTTCTCCGAGAGCACAGGAAAGTCCAAGTTAAAAAAGAACTTTACTGATGTAAATTAAACCAATAAAACATAATAAATATATATATATATATATATATATATATATATATATATTAAAAAAAGACAAAACAAACACAGTAACGTGTGTCACCTTTTTTCTGTAATTTGATAAAGCCTAGAAAAAAGTGAAATGCGTTAGTGTATTACAGTTTTTTTTTCATTCCTTTTTATTATATAGTTTTTTTAATTGAAAGTACTTTTTTTTTTACTTGGACCTTCATGTAATCATATTAGCTCAACTCAATATAAGTAAAAAGCTATGTTTTATCATCTTGTTCCATATCTATATTGAGAGGACTTGTATTACTCACATATCCTAGGTATCATTTCACTCCACACCATACCTTAGAAACCACTGTAGGGCTCCAATAAATGTGAGTGTATTTACTTACCTATTTACAAAGTATCCCACAGCTGACGTACTACATTATATTATTTTATGCTATTTTACTTCCATATCCATGAGACCTTCTACTATACCCCATAAGGATTTACCACTTGTGAAGCAAGAGCTACACTATATCTATAAGCGGGAATCATACCACTCAAAAGTATGTCATAGCTCCAGAAAAGTGTAATTGTACCTTTTTATTCTTATTCTCCAAATATAAAAGATATACTACACTATCAATTCCTATATTGTCTGCCATTTTTGTCATTACATATACCACAAAGGACATACAAGGCACCACACCCATTCCCCCCCTCCCCCCTTCTACCTGCCTACAGGTGCTTGTCCACTAGGGGGAGCCTGTTTTCAGCACTTATAATGTGCCCCTTTTAGCTTAAATTGGCTGCAGGAGAGATGTAAGTACCAGGAGCCTTGTTTAGTGTCCTTCATAGTCCTTAATAACAGACCCGCAGGAACAGTTATAGAGGGTGCAAAACTCAATACTGTCCAATTCTCCCAGTGTCTGTGTCTGAGCCTGAACAGGAAGTGAAATGGATCACCTGCCATCTGTCACACAAGAGCCTCTCACACAGGAAATGCTTTGTATTACCAGCAGGGGAAGCACTTAGTGTTGCACACTGTATACCAGTTCCTGCAGGACCTGGTTTAATATTATCAATCACAGTAGACTGACTGGTCTACCAAAGATATAGGAAGTTGAGTACTTTGCAAATAACACTTCGTACTTCAGAAACTCAAACCATGAACTTTAAAATAAACCCTTTACCTTAATTCTAAGGTAAGTAAATTCTTGGTAAAACTAATTTTGGATGCAATTACAGTTGGCAGTCCTTTGGGGTACGTCTCTACCAGCCTTACAAATCTGGATTCTGCAATTTTAGTTACCATATTTTTGATAATTGCTCACAATCGGTCAGACTGATTTTGGACTATTTTCAAGGTTCTCCACTTAATTGAGGTCTGGCCCTAGGCCATTATAAGATATTAACGTTCTTGGATTTAAATCTCTCCAGTGTAGTTTTGGGTGCGTGTTTAGGGTCATTATCCTCCTGGAACGTAAACGTTAACTACAGTCTCTCGTGTCTTAGTGTAACAGGTGTTCCTTTAGAATTGGATGTCCTCCCGCTTTCTGAAACGGAATCTTTCCAAAACAGAACTTCTCTTTCCTCCTCCTAATATTAATCCTCCTCTCTCGCTCTCCCTTCAGATTGGTGGTATCCATATCAGCCCATCCTTACAAGCACGTTGTCTTGGTGTTACTTTTGATTCTGGCCTCACCTTTGAGCCTCACATCCGATCTGATGTCAAATCATGCCAATTCCACCTTTCTTACAAAAGATGCTACTAAAGAGCTTGTCCATGCTCTAGCAATCTCTTGCATGGACTATTGTAACTCTCTTCCCAATAGCCGTATTGCCCCGCTAGTCTGTAATGAATGCTGCCGCCAGAGTGATTTCCCTCTCTAGTCGGTCCTCTCACACCTCACCCCTCTGTCAGTCCTTACATTGGCTTCCTGTATACTAAAGGAGTCAATTCAAAGTGCTAACCCATACCTATAAAGCACAGAATAATCTTAGCCCCTCTTATATCTCCTCACAGATCCATAGGTATGCCCCTTCTCGGTCTTTCCACTCTGCCTGTGACCTTCTTCTGTCCCCTGCTCGCACGCGTGTGGCCAACTCGCGCTTGCAGGACTTCTCGCGGGCGGCTCCCTTCCTATGCCTGCCTACCGCCATCAGACTCTCCCCTAGTCTTCAATCATTTAAGAAGTGCCTTAAACCCATTTCTTTAGGAAAGCCTATGGCCTCCCAG